GGGGGGGGGAGGATCAGTGTGTCTGCAGGGTGTTCAGTCCTGGTCCTGTGGGGGGGTCAGTGTGTCTGCAGGGTGTTCAGTCCTGGTCCTGTGGGGTCAGTGTGTCTGCAGGGTGTCCAGGTCTCTTTAAAGCAGCAGCACCTGAAGAGTTGGGAGAAGCTGTTCAATTGGTCCATTTAAGCCACTAATGAGCTGAATGAGTTCTGAGCTAAGCTGGAAGGAAAACCTTGCAGACCCACCAGGACCTTCAGGACCAGGTCTGGACACCCCTGGGCTTGAAGACTCAGGCTCACATTAAGGCAGGGCTCGGTCAGTATATTCTAGACATGCCGGATTGGTGTTCTCAATGGCTTCTTTAGCTCCTCAGTGCCAAAGCTGGAGATTTGGTGTCACTCTGTGCGTGCTGTTTCTCAGAAATCGTGGGCTGGGTTTCGGGCACGATGGGGAAAGGAGAGGGGGGCCCGGGGTTGTCTTGGCTGAGATCTGTGGTTATAATTGCTGCTTGGGGTGTGGCTTCTGGGCGGTGCGGTGGCTCTGTGGCTAAGGATCTGCGCCTGTGGCTGGAAGGTTGCCGGTTCGTATCCCGCGGCCGGCAGAGAAATCCTACTCCATTGGGCCCTTGAGCAAGACCCTTAACCCCAGCTGCTCCAGGGGCGCCATATAACTGACTGACCCTGCGCTCTGACCCCAAGCTTCTCTCCCTGTCTGTGTCTCAGAGAGAGCAAGCTGGGGTATGCGAAAAGACAAATTCTTAATGCAAGAAATTGTATATGACCAATAAAGTGATCTTATCTATCTTATCTTATCTTCTGCTTCCAGGCAACGCTAACGAGAAGGAGAAGAAAGAGGAAATGCGGATTCTGCAGGAGCTGCTCAATCGACTGGACACCTCCAGGAAGGTAGGCTGGGGTTTGGGAGGGCGTGAGATACTAAAGACCAGATCGGGGGGCTAGTCCTTGACTCTGCTCGTCCACTTGTCAGTGTCCTGTCCTTAATTGCTTAATTGAATGAAGACCTGCAGTGGAGATGGGACTGGCCTCTGCACTAACCTGGTTTGGACCTCTTCCGGTCAGCTCCATTCCAGGACTTTGATACAACCAGTGTCTTAATTGCTATATTGGGCCTACTGATTATCAATTAAAGAACTGAGTTACTCTGACACTGTTGAATTATGTTGTGTAGAGGACCTGAGAGTGTGGGGTGGGACTGGTGAGTTGGAACGATGTCTTTCAACTAGAGGCTGACCAGTTTTGTAATTGAACAGGATGCTCTTTCTGACAGACAGGGGTTTAGACTGAGTTTCAACCTGTATCTGGGGCCTTACCCGGAGGCAGCTCTTGGATGGAGAAGCTGGGGTCCCCCACCCTAGAGATCCAGCTCATCTGTTGTCTTTCTCCTGACCCCCTGCCTTTCCCATTTCTCACTCTTCCTCCTATCCCTGCTCCTTTTCTCCCTCCTCCTCCCTGCCCTGCCCAGGCCCTGCTGGGACGGATGAGCAGTGTCCTGGATCTGGCGGAGGAGCTGCTGAACTCGCTGGTGGGGGAGGAGCTGCCGGCGTGGCGGCGGCGCCAGCAGAAGGCGTGCATCGGTGCGCCCGACAGCGTGTGCCTACAGCAGCTGGAGCGCTGGTACGCCCGGCCCGGGGTGGAAAACTCACTTAAAAAGCCGTCCGTCATCCCTTTAGATCAGTCGGCGGGCATACAGTGATCTCTGCAGGGTGCGAGTAGCTAGCACGTAAAGTAATGGATCACAATTTAAACCATTAGCAATGTCCACCCTCATCCAATTTAAAAGAGTAATCCCTTACATGGGAGCTTGTAGATTAAAAGTAATTGGCTTGGAATATAAAAAAAATATGCATTGAATTATGAGTACTGTTTTGTCCGAACACCAAACAGAAGGACTTTCACTTTTTTTGCTCCAGTGCAACATATTAGGAATTGTTGTTCAGTTTCCAAGTTAAAAAAAAAAGCTAAATGATTTTTCCATATTGAGAAATAAAAGATTCTTTCTGTTCTGGACCCAAACTGCCGATTAGCTGCTCTGTAGCCAAAAGCAAGCCATGGAATAGAGAGGAGCCCCTGTCTTATGTCCTGTGTGTTGATGTGTGTGCGTATGTGCAGGTTCACAGTGGAGGCCGAGAGCCTGTTCCAGCTGAGGAAACTCCTCAAGAAGCTGGAGGAGCTGATGGGCAAGGTGACCTACGAGGGCGACCCCTTCAAGACCAAGAAACCTGCCCTGCAGAAGAGAGGGGACACCCTGCTCAATGAGCTGCTCAAGAGGTGAGCGCATAGGGCCACTGCCAGCGCCCATGTTTGGGCACTAGAATCATTAAAGGCTGCATGGCAGCATGGTGATGCCTCAACTCTACGTTCAGTTGTGGACTGGAGCACCTTCTGTGTGGAGTATGCATGTTCTCCCCAAGTTTGCGAAGGCTTCCTCCCACCTTCCAAAGACAGATTCCTGTCTGTGGGCCATGTGAGGTTGTGCTAATGACTTACCTGCAAGGTATCTGCACTAACAGTTCCTTTCAAAAACGTCAATGGCATGCTTGAGCCCAGAGGCCCAGCAGCGGGACACCTGTCCTGGTTTCTGTGATGTTCGGTGGTGGTTCCTCTCTTCCCCCGGAGCAGTGCTGATACCTTTGTGTGCAGCAGGGTGGGGGAATGGACTCGTGGGTACATCGGTGTCCGTAGAGACCGTCTGAACCACCAGTCTTCCACCTAGGAGTACAGAGCCCGTACACATGCCAAAAACCATCTCTGTCATCCGAGAAGAGAGTTTGCTGTGTGCTGTGTGTTTGTTGTGTGGCCTCACAGGCAGAGAGATGGGATACACTTGGCATCTGTCGAAGTGCTGGCCTAGTGTGAGCCGAGGTCTGCTGTGGGTCTGTAGGATTGCTGTGCTCTCTCTGTCTCTCCCTCTCTCTCCCCCACTTCCCTCTTCTCTCCTTCTACCTCATTTCTCTTCCCCTCGTTCTCCCCCTCTCAGTTCAATTATAGGTGCTTTATTGGCATGACCAATGAGTAACATCAGTGTTGATAAAGCAGAACAAATACAATTAACATAAAACAAAACATTTACAATAAAGACCATCATAAGATCTTTACATGTAACCATATGGAGCATTATTGGGAGACAGCCTCACTGTTCCTCAGGCTGTGACAGGAGATCACTGGGCTGCCAGTTCAACTGAGTTCCCTCCTCCCCTCTCCCAGTAGAATTGGGAGCTGTTGTGATTCTGGCAGGTGTTGAAATTCTGGGATTCATTTTTTTTAATTTGGGGAAGAATGTCTAATCCCAGAATATTGCAGTAGGAAGTGCACTTCTGTCTCTATTTCTCCCCGCTGGCAGTGGGAGCACAGCCTGTCCTTTCTGGGCAGCCAGGTCTGTCTATGTCCAGTTTCTATGGCCAGGCTTTGGTCACCCTGGTCACTTTGGTCAGGGTCAGTTTCTTTTTGCTGTTTTTTATCTTGGTCAAATATTCGGCTAGTGTGTATTGTCTATTTAAGGTTCTGTAGCATTCCAGTTTATGGTGTGAGAGATATTACTGTTTGATCTGTGCTGTGCTGTGGTTGGCTCTGATTTAGGGTGCTCTAGCAGTGCTGTCCTGAGGCTGGCTGGTGTCGGTCTGGCTTGGGCCAGTGAGCCTCAGGACCAGCTGGCTCAAAGGGCTCTTTGTTGGGCTCGGCTCTTGGCTCAAAGGGCCTTCTAGTGGTAGGATTTTTGGTCGCTGCTTTTTAGGTGTAGCCAATACTTTATTACTCTCTTCTGTATATTTATCAATAGTGGGTATTGGCCTAATTCGGCACTGCATGCGCTGTTAGGAGTTTTTCTCCACATAGTTTTTCACAGGAGTTTTTCTCTTCTATAGAACTCCATGTGAAGAGTTTCTGTGGGGTGTTTGTCTACTCACAGCTCAGGATTACACTAAATGGGACCTCACACTTCACTGATGTATAGGGCAATGGGTTGGATTACACTTTGAAATATTTGGAGCCAGAATCTTTTTGGTGGGTTGATGTTGAAGAGCCTCCTTATTGCGTAGAAAGCCCTGTGTGCCTTCTCTCTCAGTGCCTTCACTGCCAGGTCAAAACTCCCAGAAGAGCTGATGGTGAGACCGAGATATGTGTGCTCCAATGTGTTGTTGTTAAGTGTGAAGTGGTACTTGTTTCCCTGATGTCTTGCTTTCTTCTGGAAAACTATGACTCTGGTCCAGATTGACTGTTAGGGCCCAGGTCTGACAGTATGGCTCCATCTAGGTTCCCCTCTCTCTAACTCTCTCCCTCCTTCTCTCTCTTCAGATTCAAATTCAACATTCAAACAGCTTTATTGGCATGACTAGTAAATTACAGTGTTACCAAAGCAGATACAATCAATACATCACAGGACATTTACATACAACACGTACAGTAGAACTGATCAGTGATGATGAGGAGTCCACTTACAGGGATGAAGTTGTACAGCTGCTTCTATGGTGTCATAGCAATAACCTGGACTTGAACATAAAGAAAACGAAAGAGCTAATAGTGGACTTTCGGAGACACAGGCCACACACTCACAGCCCACTCAGTATTGATGGAACGGAAGTGGAAACAGTCACCAGCTTTAGGTTTTTGGGAATTCACATCTCTAAAGATCTAACCTGGACTGTGAACACTGACTCTATCATGAAGAAGGCTCAGCAGCGCCTTTATTTCTTGAGGTGCCTCAAGCGATGGGGGATGCCAATACATGTGTTGGTGAACTTCTACCGCTGCACTATCGAGAGCGTCCTCACCAACGGGATCACCGTGTGGTATGGCAACACCTCTTCGCGAGAAAAAAAGGCACTGCAGAGAATGGTCAATATGGCCCAGAAGATCATCGGCTGCGGTCTCACCGAGATTCAACAGCTTTATGAGGACCGCTGCCGTGGTAGAATTCTGGCCATCACAGAGGACAGTCACCACCCCGGGCATGAGCTCTTCACCCCACTGCCCTCAGACAAGAGATATAAGAGCATACGTTCACTTACCACTAGATTCTTCAATAGCTTCTATCCACAAGCAGTGAGACTGGCGAACACATTCAGCCATCCCCCTCGGACCACACCTACACCATCACCATCTACCTCATTGTAATTTATTTATTGTACGTCTCCAGTCATTGTTTACACGTCTGTATTGTTTACATTCAAACTGCATGTTTACTTGCACATTGTCTATTGTTTGTTTGTACATTGTCTTGATGCACTGTTTGGACTTTGTCTTGTTTTTTACACTTGTTTTACAAACGAGTGACTTTCTGTAAGTAAGAATTCCATTGTACCAGTACCGGTTACATATGGCAATAAAGTTCAAGTTCAACATTATTGAGAGACGGGCTCTTCCCTGGGCTCAGCAGTGCCAAACTCTCCCTCTCTCTTCCCTGCTCTCAAATTTCAAATTCAGATTCCCTCTAGCTCTCTCCCCTCCTCTGTCTAATCTCTCCTTCTCTTGTCCCAGCGCCTTCATTGTGGAGACGCAGCCCTCTATGCCCCAAGGCAAGGGTCCCCTGGTGCTGCGGACCAACGTGCAGTTCTCGGTCAAGACCAGGTTAGTGTGTCCGCCACAGGGTGCTGTTAGAGGGTTGTCCCTTGTTATTGTCACTGGAGGTGTTGAGGCACCAGCGGGACTTTGGTATTATAATATCAGGCTGGTGCTCTGAGTATACTTTTAAGTCCTGAAATAAAAATGGATGATAATTGATGAACGAAGATGTTGATGAATTCTGCTGCTTTCTCTCCTGTAGTCTAAGACTGAGCAGAGTTTTGCATTATTGTTAAATACAAAGCTTTAATCTTGGTTTTGTTTTCTTGATGGACAGACTTCTCGTCAAAGTGCCAGAGCTGAACCACTCCATGAAAGTAACTGTGGCGATTGACCGGTGAGGTCACACACCTGCACAGTCTTCCCTGTGCAGTCATCTCTCTCTCTTGTGCACGCTCGCCCTGCCGCAGGTTCTCCGTGCACTATTGCCTTCACACTTTCTCCCTCTCGATTTTGTGTGCACTCTCCTTCCCTCTCCTGCATCCCTGCTAACATGACTCTTTCCATCTGTTCGCAGGGATGCTCAACCAGTGAAAGGGTGAGTCTGTTGTCATATTTTGACTTCCACGCAAAGAATGGGTTAAATCTACAGTTCTTCACAGCAGATGATCATATGTCTAACCAGCCAATTGGATGTTTGGCTGAAAACCACTCGTGTATTTAATTTCTAGTTGCAATTTTATCGGCACTCTGTCACACATTAGGCTGACAAATCATGTTGTTTATCCCTGAATAAGAGGGTCCAGACTCCAGTAATAAATATGGGGGTGGAAGAGACAGGTTTCAGGATTAAAATATGAAGGAAATGGGTTTCAGGATTAAATATGGAGAAGGAGGGGTCGGGCTCCAGGACTAAATGTGGAGGAGAAGGGGATAGGGCAGACTTGTAGTCCTCCAGTCTTATGAAACTGTTTCTTCAGGTATCGCCGGTTTAATGTGTTGGGGAACAGCAGCAAAGCTCTGAACATGGCTGAGTGCACTAACGGGGGTATGGTGGCAGACTTCCGACACCTGGTGAGTAAGTCTGCAGCTACTGGAAAACAGAATAGCAAACCAGACTCTGGGATTCCCAACTCTCCATGGTTTCCTGTCTCCTGAAACCTGCCAAATCAGGACAGAGTTTAAACCTACACTGGATCATCCCAGCTCATTTCTCTCGTGACTTCACCTGTCATGAGAATAGGCCCCCATTTTATAGCACCAGAACAAATCATTTTCTGGGTTTTTGTATCATCTCTTAATCATCGCTATGACTGTGAACAGGTGAGCGTACCTCTGCCTGACATACTGTGAGACTCCCTCTGGGACCCTGTTGGGGGAACCTTCCAGTCTGGTACTCCGTACAGATCCTGTCCAGGGACCTGTCCAGGATGTAGCTCTGCCTGGCACCCTTTCCAATCCCACCTGGCATCTTGTCTGGGGTACATACAGTACCTTCCTGGCACTCTGTCCCATTTCTGTCCGGCGCCCTGTCCAGTTGTCTTGTCTCCAGCACTACGCAGCTCTTCCTGTTGGCCAGTCTGACCTCACGTCTGTCCTCTCATCCTGCAGACGCTGAAGGAGCAGAAGGCAGGCAACGGAGGCAAGGGGATGAATGATGTGAGTCCCAGTTCTTTTCCGCTTGCACTCTCCTGGTCCGCTCCTTCGGTCTAATCCTTTCACTGCTGAGCCACTGTTCCTGTCTGGCCTCTCTCACTGCAGGGCACGCTGAGTGTCACAGAGGAGCTCCACATCATCAGCTTTGAGACCCATTTCGAGTGGTGCGGCGTGTCTGTGAGGCTGGTGGTAAGCCTGCCTCTCCCACATCTTCCTCTCGTTCCCCATCATCATCATTTGTAGCATTTTGACACTTTGGGAACCTGGGATAATCACTGGATAATCCGGGGGTTGATTTGTCCCCCAGAAGGATTGGAACTTGGTTTGATTTAGCAAATGTTCTCTGAAACCCTGGAACCTCACCTGGTGCAGCAATGTTTTTCAGCCAGCCTGCCCTTGCAAAAGGCAGACGCAGGCGATTCCTAGAGGCAGGTGTTCGGCTCTCTGATGCCCACTGTCCCGCTGTGCCCCACAGACCTCCACGCTGCCTGTGGTCATCATCTCCGGCGCCAGTCAGCAGCAGAATGGATGGGCTTCAGTCCTGTGGTTTAACATGCTGTGCACTGACCCTAAGGTAAGATGACAAAAGAAATGAGGTATTTTGCTAAAAAATATTATTTGCACATTTCATTCTGAATGAGTTCCTGCTCCTGAATTTAGGTTTTTGCGTCCCTAGTGCCAATGGAAATTGGGCTCCCATTGCAGAACAGTGTAATCCTCCCCAGGACCTTCCTGTGCTGGGTTCTTGTATCCAAGACAACACCAGGTGCTGGAGATCTCAAGCCCTTCTTGGTTTTTGAGCCTATTAGTTCAAATTTGTGAACTCTTGCTTTACTCCGCTGTAAAAGCCAGCAGTTTGCGGTAAAACTTGGAATGAATCAACCTGCTGTGGCAGAGGCTGTATACATTTCTTTCCAGTTCTGTAGATTGCAGGCTGGGAGGATCTGGTAAGATGTGAAAGGGAACATAACCTGCCCCTATCGGAAACATCTGAAGTCTTAGAAATCATTGTAGCATCCACGTGTGATTGTGATCGACGTCATTAAAAATATCGGTGGGTTTTCTGAGTCACTCGGAAACACATCTCTGTTTTGCTCTGCTCCTCTGCTGAAACCTTTGAGTTGTAACACCCCGTCCAGGGGTCTTGGGGTGGTGCCCGTCACCTGTTCAAGGAAGCGCCTAAGTCCCTGTTGTTTCCCCCGTTTTGCCAGAACATAGAATTCTTCAACAGCTCCTCGAGCGCGACCTGGCCTCAGCTGGCGGAGATGCTGAGCTGGCAGTTCCTGTCGATGACAAAGAGGGGGCTCGACTCAGACCAGCTCGGCATGATTGCGCGGAAGCTCTTTGGTGCGTATGCCTCTGCTGGGCAGGTGTGTCGTGAGGGGGACTCTTTAGATACTTTATTGATCCCGTGAGGGAAATTGCAGTGCAACAGCAGCTTAACACAGACAACACAGCAACAGCGTAACGAATGGTACAATAATAATAATACAAACAATCAGTACAGTGAGACGTGCACTAAGAAGAGTTACTCACAGTCCAGAACACACAAAGAACAAACCAGAACAGAACAGCACACAAAAAGTTGTATTGCACAATATAAATAAAAATGGATTGCACAGGTCGCACATGAGCATTCTCAAAAAAGAGCTTTGTCCTCTACCCACAGTTACCTGAACTGTGTGCGAGTTCAAATACTCTAAAAAGTTAAGTATATTCAGGCCCAGTGGACATCTGATCCAGAAATCCTCTTCCTGGTTATCGGCTGTCTGGGAAATGAGGGCGGACCCTCTGTGTGCAGAATCGCCAGGAGGAAGAAATCTCATCTTTCTGGCAGCAGATCAAGAGACCAGGAACAGTGATCCAAGTTTGAAATTTTGGAAGAGTTTGTGTGAAGTCTAGGAGAAAGACAGTTGTTTTTCCATAGGTTATCTGCTCAGTGTGTTGGAGAGGGACTGATGAAATCACTTTTTGTTGTGTTTTTTATTTTTAGATTTTTTTTGTTCCTCCACTGTAAATAGAAGAGCCCTGGTTTGTACCTTACAGCTGTGTTTGTATGTCTGTACTTTTTTTTTTTAGAGCAGCCTGAGCCAGACGTCACATGATACAATACATTTGTAATAGGACAAGTCAAACTTCATTCCACACTTAAAACTGGAAACATAGCTGAACAGAGAAGGTGAACCTTCATCTGACAGTGGCTCGGCGGCCAAGATGCATTTTCATTCTACTGTGATTTAGCTACCCAGTGAAACTTAATGTATGTCTGGCTGCTGTCCGGCAGGATAGACAGGCAGACGCCCCCTGTGACAGGCCCACCCACCAGAGGGCTCCTTTTAACAGCCACAGCCGCCTCTCTGTAATTCCTGTCACCCGTGATAGGCACTTTGAGTGGTTTTCGAGAGAAAAAAGGACCATCAGTCTGAAAGCTTTTATTATTATTAACTGAAACAAGTGTTTCAGTTAAGAATAATGAACTTTTAAGGTATTTTTTTCCCTTACTACAAAGTGATCCTAACCTGCACTAGAGCCCGTATTCTTAGTGCAGCTTTTGTTCTGTGCCTTGCATGCGTGGTACGCAGGCTTGCATCAGTCCTGACTTGCTGAGTAGCCGGTTGACTGACCTGACATCTTGTCGCCTGCAGGGAAGCAGCAGAACTACGACTCCTTCAGGGTCACCTGGGCGAGGTTCTCCAAGGTGTGAAGTCTTCTGTTTCGTTTCTGACATCCTGCTTCCTCTGCTGAACAGCTCTACTCAGTCGGGACCCGGATCAGCAATCCCTAACTCCATATTCCCAACTAAGCAGCCTTCCTGTGGTTTTACTGTGTTTTCACTTCAGTCTAATAATGATAATATTAATAATAATGTTGCTTTATTAGCACTATACAATTTCTTGCATTAGGAATTCAACTTTTCGCATACCCCAGCTTGCTCTCCCTGAGACACAGACACACAGACAGGGAGAGAAGCTTGTGGTCAGAGCGCAGGGTCAGCCATTGTACAGCGCCCCTGGAGAAGTTGGGGTTTAGGGCCTTGCTCAGGGGCCCAACGGAGTAGGATTCCTCTGCCGGCTGCGGGATTTGAACCGCTCTGCCCATTAGTCTGCCATGTTTTCCAACAGAATGTATAATTTGCTACATTATTACTATTAATCTCAATGAGCTTTGCTACTCTGTGTTGTATTTCTACACTGTTCTCCCTGAGCTTTACTACTCTGTTCTCTGCTTCTACCACAGTTTCACTGGGCTTTGCTGCTATGTGTTGTTTCTACCCTGATCTCACTGGGCTATACTGCACTGGACTGTGCTTTAACCCTGACCTCAGTGGGCTTTGCTGCAGTTCTATTTTTAGGTTTCCTCAAATGGACACATGTAACACTCTCAGACCTGTGTGGAAGCCCAGTCTAATGATTTTTATATTTTACATTAGTCCTGACTAATGAAATAATTGAACACAGTGCCATCTTTGATTGCCCTGAATGCGTCTTCCAAAGCCACTTGCACAGGAGATCAGTGTGAATATTCAAAGGAACAAGTAAAAGGTTTATTCCATGCTGAAAAGAGAAGAGAGAAAACATTTCAGCTATGAAGCCTTCTTGAGAAAGACAGGGCAGACAGCAAAGATTAAATAGCACAGAAGAACAAAAGCTGGGAGAGGGGAGGAGGCAGGAGAGCCAGGGAAGCCACTCAGGAAGTACAAAGTGCAGAAGTCTCTTTTGTAAGGAGCCACGGAGCTAGAGAGGGGAAGGAGGAGCTTCTCCCCCTGCTGGGGAGGAGGTCAAACAGCAGCAGAGCAATTCCAAAATGCTGTGGTACTCGGAGACCCTTACCACAGGAGAGGGTGGAACGATCTGCCATCTTCTCCAGCGTGTTTTCTGGTTTTGATAAAGGCAGAGAGAAGGTTGATGTTTGTTTTTTTTTGTGCTCTGTGGCTGTGTCCCTGAGCTGAGGAATCTGCTCTTTCTTTGCAGGAGAACTTGCCTGGTCTGGGCTTCTCCTTCTGGCTGTGGTTCGATGGTATCCTGGTGCTGGTGAAGAACTTCCTGGAGAAACTGTGGAAGGACGGGTAGGTCGCTAGGTCACAGAGTCACAGGAGTGGGCAGAGAACATGATAGAAGTTTAACTACACAAATACTAGATATAAGAGCAGCAGTAGTGGGAGCAGGAGTACTAATAAGAGCAGGAGTACAGATAGCTGCAGGAGTGGGAGCAGCAGGAGTACAGATAGCTGCAGGAGTATTAATAGCTGCGGGAGTATTAATAGCTGCAGGAGTGGGAGCAGGAATTTTAATAGGAGCAGGAGTGGGAGCAGGAGTGCAGATAGCTGCAGGAGTGCTAATAGGAGCAGGAGTATTAATAGCTGCAGTAGTGGGCGCAGAAGTACTAATAGGAGCAGGAGTATTAATAGCTGCAGTAGTGGGCGCAGACGT